GGTCCCCCAGCCCCGCCCTGCCCCTGCCCGCCCTGCCCTGCTCGGTGTGGTGTGGTCGAGGGCGCCTCCCTCACATAACACTCTGGGCTCAGGCACTGTGGCCTGATTGCTGTCCTGAGAAAATGGGGCCGGCTATGTCTCGGGTACCCTGGCTCAGCGTGACACGACCCCTGGGACCATAATAACGGTTTTGTTTTGCTTACAATTCAACACTAATAATTACAGCTATAAGAAAAATAAGAATTGCTGGGCATGGTGGCGCACACCTATAATCCCAGCACTCTGGAGGCAGAGGCAGGAGGATCGCTGTGAGTTCGGGACCAGCCTGGGCTCCATAGTGAGTTCTAGGCCAGCCTGAACTACATAGTGAGACCCTGTCTCAAAAATAACAAACATAAATAAAAAATAAAAATCACCCGTAGTTCCACCACGCAGAGGCAGCCGCCATGAATGGCAGATGTCTGTCTTAGATTTCAGTCTGTCCATCCGTGGTCAGTAAACGGCAGTTTGTGCAATGCAGACATTTGCTACAGCGGTGTCTTGTGAGTGTGAACACTGCTTGTGGCAGCAGACATACGTCCTCAGGTTCTTGTTCTCACTGGCACGTGTGTTCAGCACGTTAGAATTACTTTATCAGGGCTGGTTGTGCGTATACAAAACGAATCTGTCACTTTGACCTCTCCTCCTCCGCCTCCCCTTCCCTGCATCGTTTGCTCTCCTAGCAAATATATTTTTGCTGCACATTTTTTTTTTTGCGGTACCAGGGATCAAACTTGCATTTGCAAGGCAGATGCGGTGCCACTGAGCTAAATCCCTGGCCCTGCCACACATTTTTTTAATATTTCTTTTCTGATTACAAAGGTAAGATACCTAATACTTTAAAAGACTTAGAGTAATGCAAGAGTGAATTGTCTAGAAAGTGAAAGTCGTTCACAAGACTATCTCTCCTCCCCAGAAACTGCGAACAGTTGGCTTTCATATCTGGTGACACCAGCACGTTCTGTGTCCTCTTTGAAGGAAAGCCCACTTGACACGGCCTGGAGCCTGGAGCCGTGGCCAAGTCCCACACCCGTGGCAGAGTCGCTGGCTCAGCACACAAAGTTAAACATTTAGGGTGCTTTTTGTTTTTTTGGTTTTGTGGGGGAACTTGGCTTTGGGGGACGGGGTCTTGCTGTGTAGTTCAGGCTGGCCTTGAGCTCACAGAGATCCTCCTGCCTCACTCAGTCTCCCCAGTGCTGGGGTTACAGGTGTGTGCCACTATGCCTGGAAGATCTCTCCTGCATAGCTAAGTGAAGAGTTTTGGACCAGTCCAATGCTTTTTTCTGCACCCCTTCCCCATGAGGGAGAAATCTAGAAGGTCGCACACCAAACTTTCACAGTGATTACTTCTGGGGACAAAATTGGTACTCTGCTCAGATAGTACCCTGTGATTTTTTTTTTTTTTTTAACAGTGAATAAGTTTTGTTTTGTTTTGGTACCAGGGATCAAACTCAGGACCTTGCACTTGTGAAGCAGGTGGCAGCACCACTGAGCTAAATCCTTGGCAAATAAGTATTACCTTTATAATTTAAAATAAACTTTTCTCCAAAAACATAGATGGGGCTGAAAGTATAGCTCGGCGGTAGAGCACTTGCCTACCTCTAGCATGAGGCCTTGAGTTCAATTCTACCTCAGGAAAAAGCAATTTGTATGTGTAATAACTAAGTAAGTATTGTGGATAAGAATGAAGTTAGTAAAACAGGGTAAGGCTGGGTGTAGTGGCTCACACCAAGAGTTTGAGGCCAGCCTGAACTATATAGTGAGACCCTATCTCAAAAAGTAAATACAGTAGGGCCAGGGGTTTAGTTCAGTGGTGCCACCATCTGCCTCACAAATGCAAGGTCCTGAGTTTGATCCCCAGTACCAAACAAGTAAAAAAATAAATAATAAATATTATAGTAAAAGAGAGTAAACTCCCAGTAACTAATATGGAAATAAGGAAGGACATTCAATGGTAAGAAAATGTGCTGAGAACACTGTAAAGGAATTTTTTTTTTTTTTTTTTTTGTTTATTAGTCTGGCCAGACGGCACTCCCGGAGCCAGGTGGCTCAGAGACACAACTGCTCAGGGGCTGAGGTACTTTTTATAAGGTTTTTCTAAACAAAGAGTCAGGGAATTCACAGAACAAGACTGCAAACGCATTGCTTATCTTATACAGGAAATGTTCTAGGGTCACCTTTGTAAAGGTATTTTTTTTTTTAAAAAAAGAAGAAACAGCTGGTATTTGCGGCACATACCTATCATCCCAGCACTCAGGAGGCTGAGGTAGGAGCGCTATGAGTACAAGGCAGGCCAGGCCACCATAGTAAGTTCAAGAGCAGCCTAAACTGCATAGTGAGACCCTGTCTCCAAATAAAAACAAACCTGAGAGTGCAGAGAGCAAAGGAGGGCGAGAGCGCCCAGAGCCCTGGTGTACTGCTGGGGGTGAGCCTCGTACAAACACTATGGAGGGCAGCCTGGCATCACCTAGCGAGGCTGAAAACCGCAAAGGCCCATCAGGCATGTGTGCCCTGAGGTAGCCCACGCCATGGCCTGAGGGATGCATGTATGATATACGTGCTCTGTGGCCAGCCACAAGCAAACATCCATCAGAGGAGAGAGGGTAAGTGGGTCACCGTGTGATGGAATACTATACTGCAGTGAAAAGTGAGTGGCTGTATTTCCGCTCCCTGTACCAATGGTGGCTCTTGCAATCATTGAGTAGAGAGAAGCAAGAGGCAGGGACGGTGGTTCCCAGGGTAGGGAGAGCCCGGAGCTTATGATCAGGAAGGGACATACGGCCTTCCAGTGCTGGCAGAGCTATTTCTTGCGCAGGTGGTATATCCTATGTAATTACTTGTCAGTTACATTTGTACTTTTTGTATCCATAAATATTGTACATTAGAAAATGTTTTTTAAAAACCAAGCCCATAGGGCCTGGGATTTAGCTCAGTAGTTCCGCCACCTACCTCACAAGCGCAAGACCCACGTTTGATCCTTGGTACCAAAAAAAAAAACCAAAAAACAACAACAAAAAACCCAAGCCGTAGCCTCCCTCCCAGAGACCCCACCCCGCGCGGAGAGCCCAGGATGCTGGAGCCTGTTGCCATGCCCACAGGTGCAGCGGAACTGCTGCCTGACACTGTGTAACTTCAGCATCCCCGAGGAGCTGGACTTCCAGTACCGCCGCGTCAATGAGCTGCTGCTCAGCATCCTCAACCCCGCGCGGCAGGACGAGTCGATCCAGCGCATCGCCGTGCACCTGTGCAACGCCCTGGTCTGCCAGGTGGACAACGACCACAAGGAGGCCGTGGGAAAGATGGGCTTCGTGGTGGTACGGCCGGTGGGGCTGCGCCTCGGGGCGGGCGGCTGGGCCTGGGGGCATCGAGCTGCCGCCTCGGACCCATCTGACGGCCCCTCACGGGCTCACGAGTGTCCAACACGCTGCCGTAGCAGGGCTGGGCGCCTGTCCTTCCTCTGTCCTCCCCAGCGTGTCCTGGCCTCTGGCGCAGAGCTGGGGCCTAGCGTAGGGTGGGAGAGAATCAGGTTACCGGCCAGGGGAAGCTGAGAACCAAGGCAGGGAGAGGAGCTGAGGCAGGAAGAGCACCATGCGTTCGAGACCAGCCTGAACCACACAGACCCTGTCTCAAAACACCGAAAAGGGCCGGGATTTAGCTCAGAGGTGCCGTCGCCTGCCTCGCAAGCCAAGGCCCCGAGATCAATCCCTGGTACCAAAAAAAACAAAACGAAGCCAAAACCAGGTGGGCCCTGTCTCCACCCTTCCTGTAATCTCGGGAACAGTAGGAACCAGTTGTCACCAGGGAGTCAGCGTGGGGCCAGGGCAGCCCTCAGGCCGCCTGCAACCAGGTCTGTGCCTGGAGCTCCTGTCTCTGCCCAAAGAGACGAGGAGACTCGGCCTTCCCCAGAAGAGGCCCCAGCCCTGCCCCTGCCGGGGTCCCGGGCCGTGGTGGCTCTGGAGCCCTGGCCTCCACACGCTCTCTCCTCTGCCTGCAGACCATGCTGAAGCTGATTCAGAAGAAGCTGCTGGACAAGATCGTAAGTGGGGGCCTCTGGGGGGCAGCTGGCCCCAGGTGGGTGCCGCGGTCCCCGGTGCGCACTGAGCCCCGCATCCCACAGTGTGACCAAGTCATGGAGTTCTCCTGGAGCGCCCTGTGGAACATCACGGACGAGACGCCTGACAACTGCGAGATGTTCCTCAACTTCAACGGCATGAAGCTCTTCCTGGATTGCCTGAAGGTTAGGGCCACCCGGGCCCCAGCCCCAATCTGCTGCTCACGAGCTCCCCGTGGCCCACTGGGCTCTCTTTAGGGAACACGTGGTGCAGCTCTCTGGCCCGTGGTGACATCGTAGGCGGGCTTCCGCCATGGTGTGGTCTCTTCCCTAGGCAGTGTCCTGGCGCTCCAGCGGAGACGCCTGCAAACCAATCCTGAGTCTGTGCACCCAGGGCCTCACTGGCCCCAGAGCTCAGGTCTCTGCAGCCTCCCCGTTTCTGTCCTCACCGTGTGCACCCAGCTCTCCCTGGGCCACCGGAAGTCAGGAGGCCGGCCTCCCCTCATCTCATGGGAACAGCCAGACCCGACGGATGCCCATAAAACTCTCAGGTTAATGACACCAGATACTAAGTAACTCAGTGCTAATTGAGTGGCTCCACTGCATCTCATGTTGCCAGGAATTCCCAGAGAAGCAGGAACTACACCGGAACATGCTGGGACTCTTGGGAAATGTGGCAGAGGTGAAAGAGCTGCGGCCTCAGCTGATGACGTCTCAGTTCATCAGCGTCTTCAGGTCAGTACTGGTCGCCTTTCTCCTTTTGCCCTGGCTGCCAGGATGCTGAGCACTGTTAGTCTGCCGTGACTGCCCTTCCCTCTGAAATGTGATTCCTTATTCATTCACCCTGCCGCATGTGGTCTTTGTGTAATTGTATCTTAAGTAACTTCAAATCCCTTTTAGGAATCTGAGTATAAACAACAAGTTATAATGAAGTCAACAGTCTTCCTGGCATCTGTTTTATAAATTGCAATCCAAGCCAGGCAGGGTGGTGCCCACCTGTAATCCCAGCCCTCTGCAAGGCTGAAGTAGAATTGCAAATTCAAGCCCAGCTTGGAAAACTTAGCAATTTACTGAGACCCTATCACAAAATAAAAAAGGGCTGCGATGTAGCTTGGCATGAAGGTTCTGACTTCAATCATCAGTCCTGTAAACATCATAAATAAAAATAAATTGCTCCAAGCATGGTGGTGCACTCCTGTCATCCCAGCACTAGGGATGCTAAGGCAGGAGGATCACTGTGAGTTCAAGGCCAGCCTGGGCTCCATAGTAGGTTCAAGGCCAGTCTGGACTGCATAGCAAGACTCTGTCTCAAAAAAACAAAACAAAATAACAAGGAAAAACAGCTACAATCTGGCAAGTTCCCAGGAGTCCACCTCCTCCCTCCCACAGCAACCTTCTGGAGAGCAAGGCGGACGGCATCGAGGTGTCCTACAACGCCTGCGGCGTCCTGTCGCACATCATGTTCGATGGGCCCGAGGCCTGGGGTGTGTGCGAGCCCCAGCGGGCAGAGGTGGAGGAGCGCATGTGGGCGGCCATCCAGAGCTGGGACATCAACTCCCGCAGGAACATCAACTACAGGTGCCACAGCGGCGGGGCCTGGGGCCTGGGGCCTGGGCCCAGTGTCCTCGGCCCCACTCTGGTGTCCCTCTGGCGTCCAATCTTCCTGTGTTGACTGAAGGCCCAGTCACAGGGCCTGTCGCCAGGCCACTTGGTCTGTGGTACCCTGGACTGATGGGCATTTGAGTGGGAAACTCACACTGGGAGGATGGGCCCTCTCTGGTGGCTTGGCTGAGCCCCCAGGCACTGAGACTCTGGGGGCCTCATGCGGGGGAGACCCAGGAGCCCCCTAAAGCATTGACTCGGGTGGCCCACAGAGGCCCTTGCTGGGGGTGCCTCGCGTTCCCCCCCGCCTCCCCCTCCCAGGTCCCCAGCTGCACCCTCTGCCTGGCCCTGCTGCTCTGGGAGCCGGGGAACGTCCCCCCTTCGGTCACCTCGCTCTCTGCCTGCAGGTCCTTCGAGCCGATCCTCCGCCTGCTGCCCCAGGGCATCTCCCCTGTCAGCCAGCACTGGGCAACCTGGGCCCTGTACAACCTTGTGTCCGTCTACCGTGAGTTCCCCCTGCCCCTGCTGCAGACTTTGGCACCTGTGCCACACTCACTGCTGTAACCCTAACCCTGAGGGAAGCTGAGGCAGGAAGATCGCAAATTCAAGTCCCTTCTCCCCTGGCAATGAGGGAGGGGATACAGCTCAATGGTAGAGCACCCCTGAGTTCAGCCCCCAGTACCACAAACACAAAACAAAACATACAGATCCAGCAGACCCCAGATCTGTTAGATGTGCTATACAGAAACAGAACTTGGGAATCTATGTTTTATTGATTGATGTTTTTGTTTCAGTTTTTGAGACGGGGTCTCGCCATGTCGTTCTGTCTGGGCATGAACTCATTATGTACCCAGACCGGCCTTTACTGGTGCAAGTCTCCCTGCTTCAGCCTCCTGCGTGCTGGGCTTACAGACTCGCACCACCATGCCCAGCTCAGAATCTGTGGGGGTTTTTGCTTGTTTTTTAAAATCTGTGTTTTAACAAAAGTTTCTTGGAGGAAAATCAGGTTCAGGGCCTTGTTTAGGTGCTGTCTCCCGTGGAACAAGCGACTCAGGACCCCAGGCTGGACAGATGTGACTGTGACTGCCCCTCCCTTAGGGCGGGTTTCTGGGGCACAGGGGTGGGAGACCCAGCCTCATGAGCTCCCACCCTGCCTCACAGCCGACAAGTACTGTCCCCTGCTGATCAAGGAAGGCGGGATGCCCCTCCTGAGGGACATGATCAAGATGGCGACCGCACGGCAGGAGACCAAGGAGATGGCCCGGTGAGAGCGGCGTGCTTCCTGCAGAGGCTGACGCGGGCAGGGAGGGCACCCTGGGTTCTCTGGGCCTTGGCAAGCCCGATCAGACTCTTCTTCTTTTTGGCCGAAGACACTGCAAGCAGAGAGGCAGCACGTGGCACGGGGTGTTCTGGAAACCAGAGTGGGAGAAAGTTACTCTGGGGGGCTGCGGGTGTCACCCGGCCCCGGGTGCCATCCTCTGTGCCTTACCCAACAGGCTGGGTGTGAAGGCCACCGGCGTGCCAGCCATCGCGCTTTTCTGTGGGTTTCACTGCCCAACCTAACACATGGGCTCTGATTCTCCCCTCAACCTGTGCACGGGAAACAGCAGGGATGCCGTGTCGGGGCAGCAGGAAGGGCCAGGCTCCCCCTGGGCCTTCGTCACCGTTCTGAGCGTGGCATGGAGTAAAAGGGCACGTGGGACAGGGGCCTGGCATGCAGGGCCGCGTGCAGTGACAGCTGCAGCATCGGCTGCTCCGCCATGATTACGAGTTTCCCAAGGGCTGGCAGGTGGGCCGGGAACCTGGGAAGCTCCGGTGAGCGCGGCCAGTCAGCTTCCTGGCCCACCTCCAGCCCTCTCCCCTGTGTCCCCAGCAAGGTGATCGAGCACTGCAGCAACTTTAAAGAGGAGAACATGGACACGTCCAGATAGAGGCCTCTACCACACCGCCCGCGGGACTGCGGCGGGAGAGAGCGCAGGAGGACGAGGAGGCAGAGGGGACTTTTGCACAGCCGATGCTTTTCCTTAACGTTAGTGAGATATATATATA